TTAATATGTTGTAAATTTTGATATTTCTGTAATTTTAAAATGCAAACTATATTTAAACTATGAAAAGAAAATTTGTTCTTTTTAAGGTGAAAATTTGTTCTTTTCTGAAAATCGGTCTAAATTTTAGTTAGACCGATGCAATTCTTTCAAGAATATGGGTTAAAAGTTTTGCCAACTTATCGTTTTGCCAACTTTAATATTCAAAACTTTGGTTTTAATGAATTTTAAACCAGTCCAAACTTCTGCATATTTAAAAAATAGATTTCCATGTAAAATGTTCGAATTTTTACCGTTAACACACTAAAAAATTAATGACTACAACTCTGACCAGAAGCCATGGTTGGCAAGCATTTTTTACTCTGAAATTGTATATATTTGAATTTAATATTTTTTTAAACAAAATTTATTAGGTTTTTAAAATTTACCATTCAAGGCATCTGATAAAAGATTAATACTATTGTTTAAAAGGAACAGAACTACAATAGTTAAAATTTACTAAAATGGATAAAATTATATTACAAACTAATCAGAGTTAAAAAAAATTATATTTTTCATGCTCAACTCGATAATGATTGTTATAAATCTGGAGACAGTTTTTCAACTAGATACCTAATGAAAATTAGTTTAGATAAGAAAACATAACTGAAAAAAAAAAGTTTTTCTGGTTTGAGGAAGTCTTACACTGTAACTACATATTCAATAAGATAAAAGCATTGCATTTTAATTAGCAAAAAAGTAAATGGGCGTAATTGAAATATGTTTTTAGCCAGAAAATTAATATATTAAACGAAAAAGTACTATTTAAAAGTTTCATATCACATTTATTCACGTATAGTCTATTTTGAAGCATAATAATTTACAAGCATATCACTTTCTATAATTCTTAATAAAGAAATCCTCGTTATCAATACAATCGGACTTAAAGTAATTGCTCTAAAAAAAAAAGTATTTAATTACATAGAAATTTTTTTAAATTAATATTTTCATCATTTTGTTGAAATTATTGATTTATTTTTAAAAAAAAAATCACTTTTGATTTGCATTCATGTATTTTTTAATGAAATAATGAAAGTTCTAATATTAATATTAATGCATATGCCTTTTATTATTTCGCAGTAGAAAATCACTTCCTTAACATATATTATCAATTAAATTAGACTTAAAAATTCCTACCTTAAACAATGTATTTATTAATTATACTGCATGAAAATATTTAAAACTTGTATTAATCATTTCTCTAAATTCATAATGTATAAACACTATGTTTAAGTTATGTTTTTTTTTTAAATTATAGCTAATTTAAATTAGTGATTTCTTTTAAAAAATTCAAGTAATTCAAATTACGATTTTAATCATGACTAAAATCAAGCGATTAAAATTGTGCCAACACTAACAGAAGTGATCAAAAACTTAGAAATCCAGTACACTTTTTCTGTTTAATTTATGATGTTTCTAAAGAAGTTGAATTATTTCGTTCTATTTTCTCATTTGAAATGATTTTTACCTAATTCTCTCTGTTTTGCATTCTTGTAGTAAAAATTGAATTTTCATTATATATCTAGAAAACTAATTTTAGGATGCTTAGAATCAAATATTTACTACTAATAAAAAATCATTTCAGACTAGAAAAAAAATGAAAAAGACAAAATAATTAGACTTTATCTTAATGTTTTCCTTGAAAGCATCATAAATTAAATGAAAGGTTTACATTTAAAATAAAAGTATATATTTAGAAAAATATTTAAGCACCAATTTTCTTTGGCATAGCTATACATCCCAGGATAAGTTAACAAAATTAATAAAATCTAATGTATCATAAAATCTATGCATTTTGTCCTAAACCTATCATTAAATGAAAATGCTGAAAAGACTTTTAAAATGATAAGTAGTAAGTAACTGTATAAGGAGACATCTTCTCATTTAAAAAAAATCCAATTTAGAAGGAAAGTATTAATTAATGGTATAAATATCCTATGCTAAATTAGTGAGAAAAATCGTGAAATAAAAATATCTATAAAAATGCATATGGGAAAAAATAAGAATTTCTAAAGCAGTTTTTAAATTGGCAGAGAATAGTTCGTTTGATGCTTAAATAAAGTATTTTTAGATGTATTTTATTCTGATTGTAAATCTAATCCTGACTGCAATCTCAAATTTAATAACTTGACATAATATTGATATATTTCTCTGCCAAGTAGAAGCCGGTTGCCAAAATAGTGATAGACTTCTATAAATTGCACCTCTCACATGTCAATGAGAAGAGAGACCTACATAGGGCACGTTCCAATATTCGCACCAGTGTCACCGGTTACACTGGCTTGCCGCACCGACCGTTCCAATATTAAAGCTAGTTACACCAGTGCACTGCACCGATCGTTCCAATATTCAAACCAGTGTCTCCAGTTACGCACCAAGTGCACCAGGTTTCTGGTCGGTTTGGTCAGTTCGCATGACGTCATTACCCTTATTTGTTTACAAACTTTATTATACTGCTGTTGAGATCGTCATAATTATGCTGTATTTTTGAATGGATTTTATTATATAATTGTTATAAAAACTTTTTTTATCATTGAAAATAAATTTTCTTGTATTAAGTTGAAATATAATAATTATTATTGGAAATGTATTCTGTAGATGAATCGTCTTGATGCTGTTTATAGCAATGGATATCATTCATAAACGTTTTATTTCTGATATTAGTATGTTTTTGTTTTCAAGACTAAGAATTCATCTGAATTTTGATACGTGTGGTGATTAGATTTACTTGATAGATTCACATCGAAAGAATTTTGACTTGTGATTTTCAATAAACATATCGTTTTGTAAATCAAACAACTATCCAAAGCATTGTTAAATTTGTAATAGCGATAGAACTTTAAAATCAGTAAAAGATTTATTACTTCATATGCATTCATAAACATTTTTGTCCAATGTATATTGTTTTTAAAATAAACAAATCCAATCAATATTTGA